ACTGCTGAACTGCAGATCACAGTCAGCTAAAGTGGCCTGCAGTACTGCACCCTAACCACTGCGCCACCTCGGCTCTTTTCTGTTTGACAAGCTCAGCATCGTAGCCACCGACTCACCACCTCAGCATCTTAATCTCTCTAATATATTGTGAATATGTAGGAAGTCCTCAATTTGTGACTGTTGGTTTCACAAAGTTACAACCTATTTTACGACCCCAATCTGAAGTTCCGATGGTGGCTCCTCAATCCCAATGGTCAAATGACTGCACATTGCTCAGCAATGTGGCCTCATTTATGGCTATTTGCAGCATCCCAAGATCAAGTGACCACATTTTATGAAACCGGCACTTACCTCCAGTTTTTGGCAAAGCCATGCCATACCAAATAATGGGTTATGACTTATGATCGAAATGATCAGGCACCATTGTGGCTGTAACTTGAGGACTATCTGTATAAAGGAGAATATATCGTAAAGCAATACTTCTGCTGGCTGCCGGCCACCTGCAATTTGGCAGTTCAAATCTCACCAGGCTCAAGGTTGACTCAACCTTCCATCCTTCCGAGGTGGGTAAAATGAGGACCCAGATTGTTGGGGGGAAATATACTGACTCTGTAAACAGCTTAGAGAGGGCTGTAAAGCACTGTAAAGCAGTATATAAGTCTAAGTGCTATTGCTGTTGCTATCTCAACCTTGGCAAGGTGAAGATATCTGGACTTCAACTCCCAGAATTCCTCAGCCAGTTAGGCAGGCTGGGGAATTCTGGAAGTTGAAGTCCAGATATCTTCACCTTGCCAAGGTTGAGAAACACTGTAATGTTCTCAGAGAAAGGCTGTCAGGGAGGGATCTCCGAACTTGCTTTAAGATTATGGACTTCAACTCCCACAATTCCCTAGCCAGCCTGGGCAGCTGCCTTATGGGAAATTACCAAGCACCATACATAGAAGGTTTCCACTGCCCTTTTTCTATGCAGATGGCACATTTCCAACAAAACTGTAAGGTCAACTCTCCATGCTTTCTATCTCCAAGAAATATAGATGAGGCTGTAGGCTGGTGCTTTGCTTTCCAGCATATTAACACCCTATAATAGAAGTTAAATGGATTCTATACGAATGCAAAAAAAAAAATCAATTTGTTTAGCACGGTCACTTGTAACAAGTGTCTCGGGATAATAGCTTTGTTTTCCTCTTTCAAATTATGTACATGAGATTCACAGCCAGATTTCTTATGTTTATTTTTGTGATGGTACATTAGGCTACTGATGAAAAATTTTGTCTGGAAATAAATGGGTTATGTTGAAATCTACTGTATAGAGTCTGGGCCATTAAGACTGGTGTCACTGTGGTGTCATTATACATAATTATTAGCCTAGACAATAAAGGTCAGCTTTCTCCCCCACATAATTCTGGCTCCGTTGTTTGGCCTTGTATAAGCTGACTAGAGCAGGGACCTGGTGGCTCAGTGGCTAAGACGCTGAGCTTGTCGATCAGAGAGGTCGGCAGTTCAGTGATTTGAATCCCTAGCACCTGATAACGGAGTGAGCTCCTGTTACTTGTCCCAACCTAGCAGTTCTAAAGCATGTAAAAAATGCAAGTAGAAAAATAGCAGGGACATGCAGTCACTAGAGGCAAGGGAGGCGGGGCCTCACCAGTCTCCTCAGAGAAAGGAAAGGATTTTAAATAATTTTCTTAAAATAATTAAAGCCAGGGTAGTTGCTACCAGATTTCAAGTCACAGTGGCTTGGTGTCTGCTCTCAGTATTAACTAGGAGGAGGCCAGAGAACTAGGGTCCTCTTTTGCATAAGGAATTTTTCGCCTTTTAAGAGTTAAGCAAGGGTTAATAAGCAAAGAATTCCTTATGCAAATGAGGCACATATTCTCTCGCCTCCTGTAGAGGGCATTTTTAGAGGCTTTTTAGAGTTCTCTGGGAGCAACTAGCTCAGTCTGACAGAGCTCTGGCTTTTCAAGAGGGGAGAGCAGGGCAGGGCAGGGAGAAGCAGAGTTGAAATCCTCTCTGAAACAGCTGGAAAAGGTGCGTGTGGGGAGGGGGGAGGAATTCAAAAAGTTTGATCGGAAGGCAGCAGGGGAAGGGGGGGTATGGCAGAGGAGCTGCTTTCAAGCCTTTGGAAAATATATCCAATCCAACTTCTGTGTTTGTGTTTGAGAGTGAGTGAAAGAGAGAGGGATCGAAGTTCTCTGTGTGCGTGTCTGTTTGAGAGAGGGGGGAGAGAGGGAGGGAGAGAGGGAGGAAGGAGGGGGTGGGAGAAGAAAAAGAATGGGAAAACTTATTTTGCAAGGGGGAAAAATGCTGTTGCTTTAAATCGGAACTGAGCATGCCTGGCTGTGGAATTCTGGGAGTTGAAGTCCACAAGTCTAAAAAGTGCCTCACCAGGGCTAAAGCTGACCACACGTCACTGAAAAATAGGGACTACTTTTGGTGGGAAGGTAACAGTGTTCTATGTGTCTTCGATGTTGAGTCATCCCGGCCACATGACCACAGAGACATCTTTGGACAGCGCTGGCTCTTCGGCTTTGAAACGGAGATGAGCACCGCCCCCTAGAGTCGGGAACGACTAGCACATATGTGTTAGGGGAACCTTTACCTTACCTTTACCTTAAGCTGACTAGGAATTCTGGGTATTAAAATCCTAAAATGGCTGATTCAGTACCAGGTTACAAAAACCAAAGAAAAACATGGCTTGCCTTCATTGTGGCTTTCTCTCTTCCTTCTGTTTCGATCAGTCTGAAAGCTCTGAAAACCTTGGATGAAATGCAAGGAATAAATAATCCCCTTTTCTCATTGACCATATTTTTTCTAATTAACCTTTAAAAAAAAGAGTGCATGGGTAACTAAACTATGATTAATATTGTCATTTACAAGTGCTGGGAATCAGAGAAAATGAACAGGCAGGCCGAGGGGATTCTTTGAGCTCTAAGAGAAGGGGCTTCTCTTCTAATGAAACCCTTTGACGTCTCCAGAAATGCCATTCCAGAAGGACGTTAGAAGATGACAGGGAAGTAGAAAAGAGGAAGGAGCTCCAACATATAAGTGTCCAGTAGATGGCAGCACCAAACTAACTTTGGCCATTCTCAAAAAGGCTAAAAAGTTGGATCTGTCTAGTGTTTGGGCAGGGAACCAACAGAAGAGACTAGAGTTGTGGTCTAGGCTGGGAAGTTGAAAAATAGCTTGAGGAACATAATGACAAGCTTCATCCATATTGTTGGATGGATAAATGTGTGAGTGTCACCATTTGCCAGCCTGACTTTTTTATTTGCTACTATATCAATCAAAGGGACGCAGTGGCTCAGTGGCTAAGACCCTGAGCTTGTCGATCAGAAAGGTCGACAGTTTGGCGGTTCATATCCCTAGCGCGACGTAACAGAGTGAGCTCCCAGCTTCTGTCAACCTAGCAGTTCGAAAGCATGTAAAAATGCAAGTAGAAAAATAGGGACCACCTTTGGTGGGAAGGTAACAGCGTTCCGTGCACCTTTGGTGTTTGGTCATGCCAGTCACAAGACCATGGGGTCATCTTCAGACAGTGCTGGCTCTTCGGCTTTGAAGCGGAGATGAGCACCGCCCCCTAGAGTCGGGAACGACTAGCACATATGTGCAAGGGGAACCTTTACCTTTATATCAATAGAGAAACGCTGTAGGTTGGATCCTGGCCATACCAGCATATCATTCCTGGAATATGATTTTCATAGCAGCTAATTCACAGTCAATCATTTATTTACTTTTACAGTATGACTAGGCATATTTCTAATTTGGGATTTGCTGTATGCACTTTTCCTAAAAGGTGAGTTCAATTTCATTACCAATTGCCCAGAATAACAATCTGGTGAGATTATTCTCTAATTTCCTCTTCGTCTCCTACATTTGTATGTCCTGAAATATTTTTCAGTTTCTAAAAATGCTTACGGCATCTATTTGAGGCTCAGAGGCAAATAAAAAGATTTTAGCCCATATATATTGTGTTTCACTTATAAAAGAATATTAGGTGGGGCAGGAAGTTTGTTAGCTGCCAAGAGAAATATCTACAGTCTCGTTGCTTACTCCAATCCTGTTTCATAATGTCCCGGTTAGTGATGACTACCTTTTGAACATGGCACAATTTCTTATTTAAGAGGAGGAAAGCAACAGACTGAGAGCCTCTCTTAACAACTGTTCAAATTAATTGTGGTGCTGAGCAATTGGTAGTTACAACTGGTCCTCATAGACATATTGCTTGCAGTGTCCTGCAGTCATGTGGTCACCATTTATGACGTCTTTTCTGGCTTCCTACGAGCAAACCAATGGGGAAGACAGCAGGAGTTTGCAAATAGCAAGCACGTTATGTCCTCACTTAACAACGGTGTGCAGGCTTCACTTAATGTCAGCAATGCCTTAATTTCTTTGCAAAGCAGCACAGTTATGTGATGTCACGCTTTACAAATGCATCACTTAGCTGTTGTTAAATCAGGACTATCTGTAATTAAATTTTGCAATAAGAATTAACATTGAAAGTTGCAGTTCAATTTGCAACAGTCTATATTCTCCCCGTTAAGAAAATACAATAAAATAAAATGATTGTTCTGGGTCTAAAACTTCACAATTAAACCTATCTTCTGCCCTTCTTCTCCCAATCTCCTTCCTCCAGCATTTGCTTCCGTATGCGACAGTCAGCATAAAGAGAGGGCGCCTTTGTTTCACAATAGTGACAAAGATGCCTCTGTGCTAGAGCAGAAGTACGTCCATGAAGTGTATGAAGACATTGCCAGGCATTTTAGCAACACCAGGCATAGTCCGTGGCCACAAGTGATGGAGTTCCTTAAAGGCTTGCCGTGTGGGGCTATTGTGGCTGATGTTGGCTGTGGCAATGGAAAGTACTTAGGCCTCTGCAAAGAGTTGTATATGGTAAGATGATATATGGTTTGCATTTCTGTAAGCTTTGTTTATGTGAATGAAAGCAAATAATACAAGTCCTAGGATAATGTTGCAGGTTCCAATCTGGGTCGATCACCGAGATCAAAGGTTTACCATATTTTTGGGAGTATAAGACATTCCAAAGTATAAGACACATCTAGTTTTTGGGGAGGAAAACAAGAAAAAAAAAACTGCCTCTGCCTCCCAGCAATTTGCCTCCTTGCAGCAAACAGCAAACAGCCTATTTCAGTTTCAGCAAAGCTTGATAAGCACAAGCAGCTGATTGTCGGTTGGATCGGTCTCCCGACTATCAGCTGTTTTAGGCTGCAGGGTTTGCATAGCCTATTGCCGCCTCTGCCTGCCCCATTTTTGGCCTGCGCATCCTGTTTTCAGCCTCTTTAAGCCCCATTTTCAGCCTCCGCACACCCCATTTTCAGCCTCGACATGCCCCATTTTCCGCCTGTTTCAGATGGTGGGGATCGGAATGGGCGGAAAATGGGGCATGCGGAGGCCAAAAACGGGGTGCACAGAGGCCAAAAATGGGATGTGGAGGCTGAAAATGGGGCACATGGAGGCAGCAATAGGCAATCGCAATCTCTGCAGCCTGAAACACCTGGTGGTTGGGAGGCCGATCCAACTGACAATCAACTGCTTGTGCTAATCAGGCTGTGATGAAGCTGAAACAGGCTGTTTGCTGCAAGGAGGTAAATTGCTGGGAGGCGGAGCCAAAGGGTGGGGGCCAGCAGATGGGCGGGGCTACATTCAGTGTATAAGAGACACCCATATTTTCACCTTTTAGTGTGTTGGGGAGGGGGGAAGTGTGTCTTATACTCTGAAAAATACGGTAGCCTTCTGAGATAATGGCAGTTCTCCCTACCAGAATGTGTTTATTTATATGCTACATTTAAATAACCTTTTAAAATTTAGAACAGGTGATCTCTTTTAGTTCTTGGCGTCCTTACGGACATCCTATAGCAGTTTACTCTTTCGCTTTAGAGGCAAGAAACTGATAAAAATTTATAGCGAAATCCATAAATAATCAAAATACATCTAAACTGAATAAATATTCAGAGAATCTTTACAAGTTGTTTCAGTGCTTAAACCAATTCAGCTGCAAATAATTTTGCCTAAGTTAGATATATGAAAAATCCCCCAAATCTTTTATTGGGGGCAGCTGTAAGAGAAGACAGGTAGTTCTCAATTTACATCCATTTGATTAGTGACCAAAGTTACAACAGCAAAGAAAAGTGACTTACGACATCTTTGACGCTTAGGACTGTTGCAGATAATGTGGTAACATTATCAAAATTTGGATTCTTGGCAACTTGGCAACTGACAAGGATCATAAGGGCATATAGATCACCTTTTACAACCTTCTGACAAGCAACTGGGGGAAGCTAGATTTATTTAACAACTGCAGTGATTCACTTAATTGTTAAGTTAAGAAAGGTCACAAAATGGGGCAAAACTCACTTAACAACTGTCTTGCTTAACAACAGAAATTTTGAGCTTAATTGTGGTTGAAAGTTGAGGACTAACTGCATTGAGTTGCCCTTGAAGAAGGTTTCAGCAACTATTAAATAGACATAGTTTAGCCCCAAAAGGTAAGGGGGAGTGAAAAAGAAGCTGATAGTTGATCAGCCTTGATTCTCTTTGGTACAAGACCAGGAAAATATATAAAATGGAATTCCATAGTTCTTATAGTTTCTGTCTCCTAACCTGGCTGACTTGACTGATTCATGCCTGAACTATGCTTTTAAATCTAACCATACATAGTACTGGATAGGATTTTAGGCCTATTCTTAGTATTGCATTGCACAGTTCCTAGCAAGGAATTTTCTGACTATATTTACCAATCCCATTTGTTTTCTTTCTATGGCAGGGGTGTCAAACACAAGGCCCATGGGCCCAATCAAGCCCGCAGGGTGCTTAGATCTGGAAACAGAGAAGGACCTGCCTGCGGTGCCTCTGCCAGCAAAAATGGAGCTTGGGAAGGCCTCATGCGGCCCTCCCTAGCTCCATTTTCACTGGTAGAGGGTTGCAGGAGACAGTCGCAGCCAGAAGCAGAACTCATGAGCCTGTTTTCACTGGCAGATGGCTTGGGCCATCACAGGCGCCCCCGACAAAAGTGATGTCAAAATGGCTACGCCCCCACACCCCCTGAGGTCAAACAAAACCCTGATGTACTCCTCAATAAAATTGAGTTTGACACTCCTGTTCTATGGTTTTCACATTTTCCCTTTGAGTGTGTCTGAAACAGCTACCTTCCATTTTCATATAATAAATCAGGCCATTATAAAAATATTAGATAATAGAATAAATCAAACCACATTCTGGTTCACTTTGTCCAGATTCATATTACTGTATTTTTCGGAGTATAAGACGCACCTTTTTCCCTCAAAAAGAGGCTGAAAATCTGAGTGCGTCTTATACACTGATTACAGCATTTTTTTGCCTCCTGAAACCCCGCCCCTTCACCAAAATGACCCTGCGTAGCTTGTAAGAGGCTTTCAGAGAGCTCCTGGAGGCTGGGGAGGGCAGAAATGAGGAAAAATGAACCGTTTTTTGCTCAATTTTGCCCCCCACCCAGTCCCCAGGAGCACTCTCTAAGCTTCCTAATGCCCTTTTTTGACAAAAAATGGGCCCGTTTTCACAAAAAATGGGCTGTTTTTTGCTCCTTTTTGGCCCCCCACCTCCCCAGGAACACTCTACAAGCCTCCTAAGGGCTAGTCATGGCCTTTTTTGGGGGGAAAAAACCTGGGCCCATTTTTGCAAAAAACTATGAAAAATACGGTAGTTGTAATATCAAGTAATGTTTGCTGGAAGCATCATGTAATCATATCTAAAAAAAGACAACAATATATGAGACATAAATAATGAAGCAATAGGTTTTCAATCTACATCCAAAGATTAAAATCATAGGAGAATTTGCTTAACTTCAGACTAATTTTTTTTTTTTTTTTTTTACAATTGCTTGTACAGCAATTGTAAAGTCTTAGGCTTGATGGATTGCAATCTGTAAAGCAAACGTATTACCTTTCCTGGCTTCTCTTAAGTTTATCCTGCCTATCAGATCATAGTTTAAAAGGTTTTAGTTGTGTGTTGCCACATCACCCAAACCAAATATTGATTGTGGGGCCATATGTTAAAGTCATTACCATCTAGGTATAAGAGGTTAGGTCCATGTGGTGGGTATAATCAGGAAATTACATCGTTCTCAGAAGCATATACAATTAATTAATGTGAATTAATTAAAACTGGATAGCATTTTAGGAGCTAGATGAAATTACTTTCAGTTAGGGGCTGCTGGAGCTGAATAATTGTTTCGCTGAACTGCAGGTTGCAACTCTCTTAAGTCATTTTCCATAAAGCCTCTGCCAATTTTAGATGATTATTGGATGTTTTTCAGATAGGAAGAGTTATGTATAAAGGACTTCTTGATGCAGCTGAACATTTTCTGATCATCGGGTTCTACTGACTTTAAACCAATAAAAAAACCCAGATACCTTGAAATTTAATTAAAAATGCACAATAATTACTTTGCTTTTGATGTTTCAGGCTTAACATGGTTACCAAATTAGAATTCTTTGGGTTTTTTGTTTGTGAGAATTATATCTACCAGGATTTCTTGGATCATCATTTACATTAGTAGGCGCATGGAATATTGTCCATAGAATGGGGTGACAGGAGATGTGAAAATAAGTTCTGAGAGAAATAAAACGTAGGAGATCCAAAGAGTGAGGTGTATAGGAGAGAATTTACACTGTCAGTCTGTAAAGCAGTTGTGAGTATTGCACAACCTTTCTTGCTTGGTGATTAATGCAGTGTGATAAATCTCCTTTGGGTCCATATAATCCATTGGGACAAGAATGAAAGAATTCGTTGACTTTTAGTACAGCTGTTTCAAGAGGAAATGTACCTTTGTAGCTATTTTTCTCAAGAATGGCCATCTTGAGGTGGTTTATAGGGACTATTTCTCTCTGTCTATTCTTTTTTCTTTGAAGGTACCATGTTCCCCTGAAAACAAGACAGAATCTTATTTTCTTTTGACCCCCGAAATAAGCACTTGGCCTTATTTTTGGGGAGGTCTTATTTTTTTTGAGGTGCGGGAGGCAGCGAGCATGATTGCTGTGTTGCAATATTTTCAGGGGTGGCTTATTTTGGGGGAGGGCTTATATTTAGTGCATGCTCTCAAAGACCCGATTGGGCTTATTATCCGGGGAGGTCTTATTTTCAGGGAAGGAGGATAACTTTAGGAAATGGGATTATTTTTGCCTAATGAATAATAAATCTAGGTTGCTTGTTTTATTTGAGGTAAAAACCATAGGGAATTTTAAGCTACAATCCAGTGGGTTCTTACCTGACAGTCAAAAACAGCAAAATATGTTTGTTAGTGAATATACACTGAATTTTATTGTCAGTTAAGCATTGTTCTCTCCTCAGGTATTGAGACTATAATAAACAACTGGCCGTATTCTTACAAAACCTGCTGCACATCATAGTCTATGGATGATGGCAAGCTTTAGTCTTGACTGTTACAGTCGCGGCTGAATCAGAGGTCATGGCCTGAAATATGGGTACATCCTCGTGCATATATAACCCTATATATTACACATAACGTACATATGTTATACATAAGCAGGAAATGAATGTTCTGGGTCTCAAATAATCAGCTAGCTGGTTTGAACTACATTGCTAGGAATCTCTCCTTATGCAGCTGATAATGTTGATCAAATGACCATCTACCTGAGAGTGGATGGTCTCCTTTCCCAGCCCAAATTCAAGAACTGCATTATTTTATTCAACTCCTGGGTCTTTAACAAAATAACAGATTGGAAGGGTCGTTGGAGGTCCTCCAATCCAACCCCCTGAACAAGCAGGAGACCCTATACCATTCCAAGTGGCTGTCCACTCTTTTCTTAAAAATCTCCATTGATGGAGCACCCATCACTTCTGAAGGCAAGCTGTCCCACTGGTTAATTGTGCTCACT